AAATTAATTATAATGATATATTTATAAATAATTTAGTAAAATAACATTTTTAATTAAAAATATTTTAATTATTAAACTTATAAATTTAAATATTTTTTTTAATTTTTCTTGCAGATTAAAATTGATAGGAAAATCTGCAGAAAAAGTTATCTATAAAATTTTTCTACCATTTAGTAAACATTACTTGTGAATTTATTTTTTTAAGAAAATCTGCAAGAAATGAAATAAAATTATTATAATATTTTCTACAAATTTTTACCATAAAAAAATTTTCTATAATCATTAAACTTGTAGTAAAATTTGCAAAAATTTCTTGTAGATTATTTTTTATAAAAAAAAAGTTGTAAGAAATATTTGTAAATTATTTTTTTTACAAATAAATTCGTAAATTTTTTTGTGACATTATTATTGCAAGATAATTTGTAAAAATATTTGCAAATATTTTTTTTAGAAAAATCTATAAAAAAAATAACACTTTTTTAATAGTGACAAATGATAAATATATGATATTTAGTATTTCAACAAACACTACTAAAATAAGTTCCTTTGTTAAAAGTCTAATTCGGTTAAACAAACTTTTATTAAGTTAATCACATAGATTAAAAGATGAGTTAAAGTGCCTTGTCAATCACATTTCAAGTTAACGAACTTTGCTATTTATTTTTTTGAAACAAGTTTAACATAATATACAGGGGCCTATTTATATGGGGAAAAAACCCCTTTAGACTTCTCCAACTTTAATGGAATTTTTTAATATATTTTTATTTAGTTATTTATTATTTTTTATATTTTTATTGATATGCAACTTATTGGTTGAATTAGAAGACTTTTTTTTGCACAAATATCTTTCCTCGAATGAATCCTGTTCAAGACTTAGTGACATTTAAGGTTGCTACACTACTCTTTGGGTTTGAATTAGATAACACACTTGTATTGTGGGACTTTGCTTTGCTTTTCTGATATATACGACTTTAATGCATCTATGCACGTGATTTGCTTTTCTGGGGACCATTTACTCACAACCCTGCTAACGTTACGGGATGCCCTTTTTATCTCATGGATCTCTTATTGCTATATTTGATGCATATATGATGGCTTCGATGCTTTGTTTCACTTGCAAGCAATATAGTTCACAAGAGATAAAGGGTACCCAAAATTTGACTTTAATAGAAGGTCTACATCATCATATTCATTTATACGCTTTTTTAAAGTGTTGTATTTTAGGGTAAAAACATCAAAGCAAAACTACTAACTAGCATTCCAGAAGCCCAGCTCAATTTCCAATGGGTACTTAGATTCGATCGCATTACTTTTCCCTCTGTTTATATTTTTTTTTTTACCACATTTTAAATTATTTATAATTTTCTGACATTCTTTAATTATTTGAATAAAAGAAAATTAAACACAAAACTGACAAAAGCCGGGTAATATTGATAGAAGGTGGTTGATTATTTATTATTAAACAATCATTAAAGTATCCAAGGATAGATATCACATCATGTGACATAAAAATTCAACATCTGTCAATGACATCACCTAACCAAATTTATGGATTTTTAACTTAGGTCAATGACCTCTCCTCTTCCTAATGAATTCCATTTCTTTTTCTTTCCTTTCTGGGGCAATAGAACTACACACCAACATAGGTTCGTGGGTTTTAGATGAACAAGTGAACCATAAATATTTTAAAATCTGAGAACCTTAATTAGGGAGAAAATTAATTAGCCAAATGAAGAATTTGGCTTACGTAGCATTTTTCACCTGAAAGATTTTACAATTTCTATTGTCTTATTTGGAAGCTAGTTTGTGATGTAGTTTTCTATGTGTGCTTGTAATGGAATCTCCTTTCTTATTCGTCGCTTTCTACTTTGCCTTGGAGTAACGGGCAATGAAAAAAAGTCATAGTGCCCCATTCTTCTAGTTAATTCAGTGATTGGTGACCTTGGATTCCTTCACTGAAAATAGAAGCAATTTCAGATTTGGTGAACTTCCAAAGCTAGGATAGCTGTGCCCTAACATACTATACAGCGGGTTAATTACGTTGTTGACATCACGATTTTTAAAATAACAAGTTTTATCTGTTTTAACTATACTGTAGTAATTTGTTAAAAAGAAAAATATACAACTGCATGGTTTTCTTCATAAACTACGTACAACTTAATTAACTATATTAGAAGCATTTGATAAACAATAGTATAAGTAGTCGATATATTATTTTAATTCAATTTATTTACAAATAGGGGGACGACACCACAAGTAAGAAAGCTTCTGCTACAGTTTACAAAATATTTAAATTCTTAATTGAACAATTTTTTTAAAATGTCCATTCATGTAAAGTTGGATTTGAGCAGAAACAAATTTTAAAAGAAACTAACTAGTAATATTTTTTTTTGTCATCGAAATTATATAATGATAACACTATGTTGGAAACTAGCCAGTAGTATTACTTATATATATATTAACTATGAAAAATTATGAAATTAAGAGTGTCTAAATAATTCATCAAATTTAAATTAAAGAGCGCGAATCATTGAATTAAATTTGAAGTTTTCTGGTTTGGTGACAAGTTAATCGTCAAAGAGTTTATGTAGTTGTTGGCAATGGTACAAATTTGCATTAATTAAAGGAAAAGCACCGACACCGCATGGTTTTAAGTAAATAATTGTGGTACGCAGTGAACAGATTTTCACACTCACGAAGCATCATTGCAAATCATGTTGTCGCTTATTATTTTGCCTCCATTATCTCATATCGTAGGTTAATTTCCCTAACCCTCCCCTTGATCTACACTTTGACCAGACTATATGTATTGCAAATTATACAACTTTGGCTACCATTTAACAAATGATGTCACATTTTATTTGGCGTCTAAGGTTCTATGAAAAAGGTAGAATGCTGGAACTGAGTTTGCCTATGCAGCTAGGGAAGACATAGTGGTGGCATGGGTTTCTTTACCGGATCGAACCACTACGTATGTCTATAACTAGAGTGCATTTGATTTTATGCAATTTATGCGTGCCAGCATGTGATTCTAATTATACAGTACATTTTCAATGTTAGAAAAAATTCAACAAAAATGATTCTATACAATATGATTTAATTTTTTTTTTGTTTACCAATCGAAACGGCCAAGTGGGTCTTAATTCTGCACTTTTTTATGGTTAAAAAAACAAATAGAAAAGTACTATCTCTTTTATAACTTTTAACTTAATGTTATAAAAACCTGTTTGTAAGGGAAATATTATATACTTAAATACATTAATTTAGTCATACTATTAGTTGATGTAAGATCTCCAACATATTTCTTTCACGCTGATAATTGGACATCCTGAACTTGCATAATTGGATATTTACGAGTGGTCTAATAATGGAACAATAGTTTATAGATAGTCTGATAGAACGGACATCAATCATTACGATAAACTTTTATATCATTTTAAGAAATTAAATTATAGAGTTAACTCAATCATATAAAATCAACTTGTAAGATGAAACATATTTTATATTTATATATATACATTAATTTGTTCGCATGCATCACTAGTTGACGAGTAGTGGTGGCTATGATACAACAATGGTAGTGACAACGATGATCATGGTGGTTGTGGAAGTAGTAATAATGATGGTAGTGGTGACAACTATAATGGTGGTGGTGTAAAGATAGTGGTGATTGTGACTGTGATGGTTGTGGTG